GGCCTGCCTGGGCTGGACCCCTAAAGGCAGCCTGTTGCCGCGGGGACATGAAAGCCTGGACAGTACAGGGTGGGGGCTCTTGCGGGGTCGGCGACTGTGGCAGGTCTCTTGGAACCTCCAGGGCGTCTAGGAGTGGTGCAAAAACGCCCTCTCTCCTCCCCTTTCCGGCAAGGAAAGATCTCGCAGTGGAAGAGGATCGACGCTGCGGAGCACCGTGGAGATCCACACTCGACTGTCCAGACCCGTCCCCGCTCTCTGCGTCCCTCCTTATCTCCCGGGCTACTCCTCTAGCCAGAGCCTTGGGCTCCACCTCACTGGTTGGGATCCCGCGCCTGTGCAGTGTCGCTGCCGAGCATCCGCCAGAGGGCGCGCTGACTCCGTTACCGGACCCAGAGGGGGCGGGGCTTGCGCCCAAGGGCGAGCAAAGCACCAGGACAGTGGTGAAAAGGTTGTGCCTTCTATGCCCCTGTCAGGCCAATACCCTCTGGCGATCGATCGATTGATTGATTGATTGAGACGGAGTTTTGCTCTTCACGCCCAGACTGGAGTGCAGTGGCGCGATCTTGGCTCACTGCAACCTTCACCCCCTGGGTTCAGGCCATTCTCCTACCTCGGCCTCCTGAGTAACTGGGATTACAGGCGCCCGCCACCACGCCAGGCTAATTTTTGTATTTATTATTATTATTATTATTATTATTATTATTATTTTGAGACAGCGTTTCTCTCTTGTTGCCCAGGCTGGAGTGCAATGGCGCCATCTCGGCTCACGGCAACCTCCACCTCCCAGATTCAAGCAATTCTCCTGCCTCAGCCTTCCGAGTAGCTGGGATTACAGGCATACTCCACCACACCTGACTAATTTTGTATTTTTAGTGTACAAAATTATATGGTCAGGCTGGTCTCCAACTCCTGACCTCAGATGATCCTCCCTCCTCAGCCTCCCAAAGTACTAGGATTACAGGCGTGAGCCGTCGCACCTGGCCTATTTTATTTTTATTTTTATTTTGAGACAGAGTCTCGTCGCCCAGGCTGGAGTGCAATGGCGCGATCTTGGCTAACTGGAACCTCCACCTCCCAGGTTGAAGCGATTCGTGTGCCTCTAGCCTCCAGAGTAGCTGAGATTACAGGCGTGCACCACCACCCCCTGCTAATTTTTTGTATTTTTAGTAGAGATGTGTGTTGAGAAATGTTAAGTTTATGAATATTGATGAATGCTGAGTGTATGATAGAATATATTGTTTGCTAGGAAGAATGATGGGGCAAGGAAAACCTATCCACTCCCCCCGCCAGTAGAAAATGACTTGGGGCATTCCAAAGTGTCAGGACAATATATAAATATCCTACAACTGTTAAATCCATTCTTTAAGCTATCTGCCCCTGCCCCTGTGGCTCCCTTGTGGAGAATACTCTTTAGTCTGTGATCAGTGGTAAGCAGGCACCAGCTGCTTACTTGGCATATTTTGTTATGAGAAAACACAGAACACCTGTTAATTAATAATAATCACCTGTTCAGATACAATAAATAACTGGATCAGAGTCTACTTGGGGCCTTCAGCCTGGAATGCTGTCAGCTCCTGAGGCTTTCAGCTCGGAAGGCTGCTGGACCCCCAGATAGACCCACTTTGCTCTTCTATCTGGGTGTCTGCCTCTCATTTCCTTCACCGACGCCTGGGTGGGAGTCTCTACAGCTGAGCTGGTACTCAGTAGATGGGGTTTTGCCACGTTGCCAGGCTAATCTTGAACTCCTGAGCTCAGGCAATCCGCTGGCCTCAGCCTCCCAAAGTGCTGGGATTACAGGTGTGAGCCACTGCGCCCGGCCTATTTGATTTTATTGAGACAGTTTTGCTCTGTTGCCCAGGCTGGAGTGCAGTGGCATGATCTCTGTTCTGGGCCCTTTGCCTACAGGGTTCTGTTGTGGCTGGATCAGTGTTAGGCCTCCTGTGACTGCAGGGAGAGTGGTGGCAGAGGAATGGGGGCCTGCTAAGCCATGAGCTTTAGGGAGATTCCACCTGTCTCTGAATGGACTTAGCTTTGACCACCAAATCAGCCCGGAAAGCCCTGGTCTTAGTTTGGTTGCCTCAGGTCCTGGATTACCTGGTCCAGGTAGGGGAGCTTGGAGCTTAGGTCAGCGAGAGGGAGTGCAAAGGGCCTGGTAGCAGGAGAGGTGAAGGCTGTTGGCTGTATGCTGTCCCAAGGAAGATACCACAACTGGCATGGCTCTTCAGTCTCTGGATTTTTTTTTTTTTTTTTTTTTTGAGCTGGGTTTGGTTTTTTTTTTTTTTTTTTTTTTTTTGAGACGGAGCTTCGCTCTTGTTGCCCAGGCTGGAGTGCAATGGCGCGATCTCGGCTCACCGTAACCTCCGCCTCCTGGGTTCAGGCAATTCTCCTGCCTCAGCCTCCTGAGTAGCTGGGATTACAGGCACGCGCCACCATGCCCAGCTGAATTTTTGTAGTTTAGTAGAGATGGGGTTTCACCATGTTGACCAGGATGGTCTCGATCTCTTGACCTCGTGATCCACCCGCCTCGGCCTCCCAAAGTGCTGGGATTACAGGCTTGAGCCACCGCGCCCGGCCCAGTCTCTGGATTTATTCTGTCAAAAGAGTCAAGCTCTGTAAAATATCTGGATATTATTTTTTTTTAGGTGGAGTCTTGCTCTGTTTCCCAGGCTGGAGTGCAGTGATGCAGTTTTGTTCAGTGCAACCTCTGCCTCCCAGGTTCAAGTGATTCTCCCACCTCAGCCTCCTGAGTAGCTGAGACTACAGGTGCCTGCCACCATGCCCGGCTAATTTTTCTGTTTTTGTAGAGTTGGGTTTTGCCATGTTGGACTGGCTGGTCTTCAACTCCTGACATCAGGTGATCCACCCTCCTTGGCCTCCCAAAGTGCTGGGATTACAGGTGTGTCTCTAAACTGCCCTTAGATACAATAAATGACAAATATTTCCTATTCAGACCTTTAAAAGGTGCTAGACTCTTAATCTCTTCAGGATTGGGAGGACCTGGAAGAAAAAGATCTAGCTATGTTAATAGAGATTCTTTACAGATACAAAATTTCCCCCACAAAGGACAGGTTTTTTGTTTTGTTTTGTTTTGTTTTTTTGTTTTGTTTTGTTTTGAGACAGAGTCTTGCTCTGTCGCCCAGGCTGGAGTGCAGTGGCATAATCTCCGCTTACCACAACCTCTGCCTCCTGGGATCAAGCGATTCTCCTGCCTCGGCATCAAGAGTAGCTGGTATTACAGGCGCACGACACCATGCCGTGCTAATTTTTTGTATTTTTAGTAGAGATGGGGTTCCACCATGTTGGCCAGGCTGGTCTCTAACTCCTAACCTCATGATCCATCTGCCTCAGCCTCCCAAAGTGCTGGCATTACAGGCCTAAGTCGCTGAGCCCGGCCCACAAAGGACAGTTTTGCAGGGCCATTTCAAAATATGGCAAAGAAACATTGTTTTGGGATATTTTGACTTTCTTCGTTGTCACCTAATGGTATGCCAGGCTCCAAAGTAAGTCACAATATATAGGGTTAAATAAAACCCATCTAATGAGAATTTATGGTTTGTAGGGTGTGACTCCCCAGGCCCCTGAGAGTAATTTGGCAAGATAAAAAAAAATCAGGGCTGGGTGTAGCTTATGCCTGTAATCCCAGCTCTTTGAGAGACCGAGGCAGGCCAATCACCTGAGGTCAGGAGCTCAAGACCAGCCTGGCCAACATGGAGAAATCCATCTCTACTAAAAAATACAAAAATTAGCTGGGCGTGGTGGCAGACACCTGTAATCCCAGCGATTACAGGTGGGAGGCTGAGGCAGAAGAATTGCCTGAACCTGGGAGGCGGAGGTTGCAGTGAGCCGAGATCGTGCCACTGCACCTCCCGCCTGGGCGACAGAGCAAGACTCCATCTCAAAAAAATAAAACGGTGTTAGCCTGTCATGTGGAGAACAACCTGCAGGAATGTGGGTGTGCATTGGGACATCAGTGACAAGGTTGTTGTGGGAATAGGGTAGTGTGGTTTGGGGAGGGTAGACCCAGCAAGCCCTAATGACCACCTGAGTTGTCCAGAGCTCAGGATGATGCCAGGTCTGCAGAGTCACTCTGAAAAGGGAGGACCCTCACCTTCTGGCCATTCTCCATGGTGCCAGCATGGGTCATTGCTGACTGGGCCTTGCTATCCTGCCCCTAATGGCTATGGTTCCTAACGTGTAAGGCCTGTGGGAGTGAAGTGCCAGGCAACCCCTCTTGAGGATAGGGCTACCCTTCCAGGAGCCCATGGTCACCTGATGCTGCTGGGCTGGCAAGACGTTTAGACTGTGGCCAGAGTCCAGGGTGGCCCTGGTCCTCTTGATCCCTCCCTTCCCCCACTTAACCTCTGACTGGATTCCTGCCTGTCCCTAGGCCTGCAGAAGCGTCTCTATGGTATCCCTCACTGGGTTTTCACCAAATGGGTCTTCAGCGACTGTCTGTTGGGCCATGGGTGAAGGTGGGGGAAGTAGGGGCTTTGGGAGTGGCAGTCCTGAGCCAGGGCCTTAGGGGCAGATGGCTGGACCTTAAGAGAGGGTGGGCTGTGCAGAGTGGTACACACCTGTAATCTCAGCACTTTGGGAAGCTGAGGCAGGTGAATCACTTAAGGCCAGGAGTTCAAGACTGGCCTGGGCAACATAGTGAGATGCCAACTCTACAAAACATTTAAAAACCTAGCTGAGCGTGCAGGACCTGTAGTCCCAGCTACTCAGGAGGCTCGGGTGGAAAGGATCGCTTGAGCCCGAAAGGTCAAGGCTGCAATGAGCTGTGATCACTTCACTGCACTTCATGCTTGAGTGACAGAGAGACTCTGTCTTAAAAAAAAAAAAAAAAGAAAAAGAAAAAGGGAGTGGTGGTAGGTAGCCCAGTCACTTACATGTTTCACTATAAGAACTCGAGAAGGGCAGAGCAAGATAGTGGCTTCATAGCCAGGTCAGCTGCTTACCGAGAAGAAGGAAGGAAAGGGCAGGAGGACAAAGGTCTTGGGCAGGTGGGATGACCAGGGTGCAGCTGCCCCTTCGAAGGGGGTGTATGTGGAAGATCAAAACCTCTATTTCTTAAGTACTCTGGTCCCTCTATCCCACAGTGACCTATGGTGCCCGCAGATAACGGGCTGTCAGGTCTTTGCTCACTCTGTTCGCCCCTGCTTCTTGGCGCAGGGAGTCCATGTCCTCTCTGGTTCCTCAGGTTTGCGTGAGTGGAGAGGAGCACGAACTCCCAATGACTCTTCTGCTCTACAGGGGAACTTGCAGATGGCCCATGGCGCAGGGTCCAGGCTCAAGCCCACTCCCACCCCCGTGCCGTCCCCGACTGGCGGGGTGATGCTGCACTCTGCGCCCTTAAAACGAACAGTTTAACCCCCTTCTTGGGAACTGAACATGCTGACCTGGTCTCTCCTGGTTCTCCCACATCTGTACCCCGGGAAGACAGTTACAAGGACTGGCTGGCCGAACCCAGGTGCCCTCGGGGCAGGGTGTGCTAAGAATTGGTGTAGGGGTTGCACAAAGGTCCCGGTCAGCTCCTGGTCACATGAGGCCCAAGAACTGTCCGGGTCCCACTTCCCCTCTTCTTGCTTTGACCCAAGTCGCTCAGCAGCGGTGAGCGCTGCACCCTTTATCCTCTGTCGGTCTTGTCCGGTTCAGATCCTCCAGGTCGGGGAAGCGCCAGGTGAGGGCTGCGCAGCGTGGGTTTCGGGTACCCAGGGCTGGGTGGGGTACACAGCAGCGGCGACCTGGGTGCCCAGGTGGGCGGCTGAGAGCCCGGAGCCTGACAGTACCTCGATCCATCGATGCGCTCGGCGCGCAGCATGGTCCAGGGAGTAGGGGGTTGAGCAAGGGCGGGGCGGCGAGCTCCGACTGGGAGGGACGAATATGCCGGCGAGTCCCTATTGGCCGGCCGTTTGCGGGAGGCGGGCCCTGATTGGCCCGGGGGATGAGGGAGCTGAGGGCGGTGGGGTTAAGCGCGTCGCCGCCGCCCCCGCCCTAGCGAAAGCCCAGAGCGCTGAACCTGCACCCTGGACCTGCGGCGACCGTCGCACACCATGGGCCCCCACCTGGGCCCCCACTTACGCCCCTACCGTGTGGGGCTGCTCCCGGATGGCCTCCTGTTCCTCTTGCTGCTGCTAATGCTGCTCGCAGACCCCACGCTCCCGGCCGGACGTCACCCCTCGGTGGTGCTGGGTGAGGCACGGGTCTGGTGGTGGGTCGGGCTGGACGGGCTGCGGGCGGGGCTGCCTGACTGGTCTGCATCTGTTCCAGTCACAGGATGGGGTAGCGTATTTGATGTCTGTCTTGTCACAGCTGATCTAGATCTGCCGGCCCACCTTCCGCCTTGCTGGGCGTGGGTGTGGTCAGCCCCCCACCTCCTGCCCTGGTAGAAAATGGGAGTGAGTGGGAGAGTTGCCATCTGGTTATTCGTATTTCCACCTGTCCACATCATTCCCAAGCCTTGCCTCCCCTTATCCCATTTTTTTTTTAGCTGGAAAGACAGATGTTTGGGCCCCACTCCTGAGGGGTGGTGGGGGTGTGTAGAGTGGCCCCTGAGTTGACCTCTGCATGACCTGGTCATGGCTAGGAGGCTGTCACCCTCGACCCCTCCAGCTACATATTCCAGAAAGCATTACTGAAAGGAACCTCCTTAGGGAAAGGATTGTTCTCCTAGGGGGCCACCAACTTTCACAAATTTATCAGATATGTGCCATTGCCTGAGGGAAACTGAAGGGAAAGGGTTGGGACAATGGCCATGAGCCTGTGTCAGGCAACCTGCTCGTACTCTTACCCTGCCACACATGCTTGGACTAGGCTAGACTATGTTGGGGCTGGGTGACCTCCCCTGCCTACCCCACTCCTTGATCACAATCCTGGCAATTCTATACTGGCCACAGTATTTCCTTGTGGGGATGGGCAGGGATGAGACCTCTGTCTAGGGTGCCTTGAGTGCCTTATTCAGGCTGTCACTCCCATCCAGAGCTGGTGTGTCCGTGGCCAGCCAGGATTCCTGAAGGCAGAGGCATCCGAGGCATGAGTTACACAGGGAGTCTAGTGCAGTGTGATCTCCATGCTCTTTCTGCTGAGAGTACTTTAAATGAGGACGATGCAAATCACAGAAGGGTAGAGTTGGCAGGGTGGTGCCAGAAAGGCCCCACCAGGAGTTCCTGGCCAGGAAATGCTCCAGGGGGATACCTGGGCAGACTTGGTCCCACCTTCCGCAAGCTTGCAGGATGGAAATAACAATGATCCCCAGAGAGGAAGTCTGTGTTTGGCAAGCACAGAGAATCCACAAACCCAGCCCTGATGGGTGGGTGTCAAGTAAGGGTTCCTGGAGCATTTAGGTGGAGCTAAGGCCAGGAGAGAGTACCGGGCAGGGGGAGAGAGATGAGCATCCCAGGCCTCCTGGGATTGAATCAGGGGAGGAGTGGACTGCACAGGCCTTGTGACTGGTTGGGTCATCTGGACTTTATCTTGAGGCCCTCAGGGAGTCGTAGGTGGGCCTGTAGAGTTCTAAGTCTGAGGGGTGTGGCATTGGGAAGCACGTGGTCTGTGGCTGGCACACAGCCATTTTGCCTGAATTATTGCTAACCACACTCATCAATTCGTCAGTCTGTTTATCTTAGGTCACAGCAGAAAAGCCTCAGGCCCCACCCAGAATCACAGAGCAGCAGGAGTCCTAACCTGCCCAGCTTCTCAGGGAGTAAGGCTGCTGGCCTTAGCCCTAGGAGACCTCACGGTGGGCAGTGGACAAGCAGCTCCTGGGCACAGAGCAGGGATCTGACCTTGACCATCAGAGGATCGGAATCCTCTAGGGGTGGGTCCTGAAATGGTGTAGGAAACAGAGATCAGAGATGTGATACAGAAGACCCTAGGCAAGGGGAACGGAGCATAGGCAAGGCCATTTCCACCTCTTACAGCCTCAGTCTCCTCATCTGTTAAGTGGAAATAATAAGGCTGTCCCCTCCCAGTGTTACTTGAAGTGAAAGGCATACGGATGGCTCTTGTCCTAGTTCCAGGCGCAGAGGGGCTCAGGAAGTGGCCACTGCTATATTTAGAGGCCACACAGCCTGACGAGGGCAAGGAGCGTCTGAGTAAAGCATATCTGATGACTTCCTCTTTCACCCACTTCCCCTTTGGTAGAGACAGTGACCAGGGTCTCTGCCCACTCCTTGCCCAGTCCACAGGCATATCATCCAGAGGCTGTTGTGATGGGGACTCCCTGCCTCTGTACCCACACCATGAAGGGAAGTGAAGGCAGATGCCACCCCTGCTTCCCATGGCACCCTGAAGACACTGGGATGGTGCTTGGGAAGGGCACACCCTATGCAGGACTGGATTTATAGTCAGTGCCCAGTGAATGTCCAGGAGAGCCAAGTGCTGGTTTTTTACTCGATGATCACAGATCCCAAACGGGAATGTGTTTGAGAAGTGGCTAAAACGTGGCATGTAGAGGCAGGCGAGGCCCGAAAGGTCACTGGGAGTAACAAGACTGTGAAGGGCTTTGAAGCAGTGGGGAGGGATTTGGGTGTCACCAGGGCCCCAGAGTTCTGAGTGGACTGAACAGGCCGGCTGGGATGGAGAGAAGTCACCCTAGGGCCTGGACTATGGTGAGAATGGTGCTGGTTCAGGGTGGCTGTCTCCAACACGGGCTCCCAGCCATGCCAGGGCCCTCCAGATGATCTCTCCAGAACCTTACTGGACTCTGGCCTTTAGTAAGGCTTGGGCCCTTGTTAGGTCAGCAGGTGCCAATGTAAGCTTCTCTCAGCCGTGTTTCTGTTCATTTTCCTCCTACAAGCCTGTCCTGGATACTTTCTCCCATTGAATTTTGGCTAAGTGACCCAGGGGTCTGTTCTATTTCCTTCTCCCTCTCTCAGGGAGAATGGGGCCCTGTCTTCTCTGTAGCCTGGGATAGATATGGGTGGAAGACTTTTGGGTTCAAGCCTCCAGGGTATATATCTTTTTTTTTTTTCTTTGAGACTGGGTTTTGTCCTGTCATCCAGGCTAGAGTGCAATGGCACAATCTTGGCTCACTGCAACCTCCACCTCCAGGGTTCAAGCAATTCTGTCTCAGGCCTCCTGAGTAGTGGTGGGATTACGGGCGTGTGCCACCATGCCCAGGTAACTTTTTGTATTTTTAGTAGAGGTGGGGTTTTACCATGTTGGTCAGGCTGGTCTTGAACTACTGACCTCAAGTGATCCACCCGCCTCGGCCTCCCAAAGTGCTGGGATTACAGGCATGAGCCACCACACCTGGCCTCGAGGGTATATATCTAATGACAGGGCCTCGGCCAAACTTTGGAGGTTCTGGAATGCAAAGGGGTCTGCAAGCCCCTCCTCCCAGGCAGATCTTCCATCTGGGTCCGTTAACCATAGAAACTATGTGTAGAGGCGTGTCTATGTTTGTTGGGGGTGATTCAGACCAAGATCTCATTTAACAGATAAGAAAACTGAGGCCTAGCATGGGGAGTGACTTCACCCTGAACCCCCTTTCAATAATCTGAATGGCCCAGGAGGATGTTCCCGTGAACCTACCTAGTTACTTTATCTGGAGATAAAAAGACTTACTTTATCTGGAGTTGTAGACAATGTTAGGGCCTTTCCTCAAACATATCAGGCCTCTCCCTAGCCCCCCACAGGCATCTCTGCACCACACTGCAGTAGCAGCTTTTCTACACAAAGATGGTTCCCTGGTTTTTGAGTCAAGGTCCCTGTTCTCTGAATTTCCTGCCCCCAGCACTGTGCTTTAATTTGAGTTGTGGAACTGCAGAGGTCTGCCATAGTATCCGTGGCTCTTCAGGGGTCCTGCTGCAGACATCAAAGTTCTTGGGAGTCTCAAACCTGCTACAGCGAGGGCTCACTCATGTCCTGTGCCCCCTGCAGTCCCTGGTGATTTGGGCAACCAACTGGAAGCCAAGTTGGACAAGCCAACAGTGGTGCACTACCTCTGTTCCAAGAAGACCGAAAGCTACTTCACAATCTGGTTGAACCTGGAACTGCTGCTGCCTGTCATCATTGACTGCTGGATTGACAATATCAGGTGAGGGCTGGGGCACACAGAGCGGGTGCTGCTCACCAACAGTGCCTGAGAGGCCTCCAGAGCCTGTTTCTTCTATCCTCATCTCAAGAGGTCATTGACCTCTCTCCTTCCTCGGTCTGATCTGGTCTGGTCTGGTCAGTACCACCTCTGCACTCCAGGCAGAACTAACTTTCCCTTCCTGCTGCCCTTGTTCCTCTATCTTCAGCCCTAGCCTCTCATGCTTGCACACAATTTTTTTCTTTTTTTTGAAATGGAGTCTCACTGTCACTCAGGCTGGTGCCATCTCAGCTCACTGCAACCTCTGCCTTCCAAGTTCAAGCCTCTCGAGTAGCTGGAACTATAGGTACCCACCACCATGCCTGGCTAATTTTTTGTATTTTTAGTGGAGATGGTGTTTTACCATGTTAGCCATGCTGATCTTGAACTCCTGAACTCAAGCAGTCTGCCCATCTCAGCCTCCCAAAGTGCTGGAATTATAGGCATGAGCCACCGTGCCCGCCTACACACAATTTCTGTGCCCCAACCTCTATTCAGAGCCTTGGCATGGCCCCTTTCCTTGCCTGTGACTCGGCCTCCCCTGCCTCTCCAGCTGCTGCTTCTTCTTGAGACATGCCATGGCTTTGCACCTGCTGTTCTTTTGGCCTGGAATCTACTTCTACACCCTTTGCCCGATAAATGTGCTTCCATTCACCCTTTAAAACATGACCCTAAGCCAGGCACAGTGGCTTAGGGTCATGTTTTAAAGGGTGAATGGAAGCACATTTATAGCACTTCCTGAAGTGCTGTAATTCCAGCACTTCAGGAAGTTGAGGCAGGCAGATCGCCTGGGCTCAGGAGTTCAAGACAAGCCTGGGCAA